TCATCGGCAAAACATGCCCTTTATGTTTCTCATGTGTATACACCTGATCTGAGTCCCTGATTTTCTTTTCAGTGTTATTCATCGTGTGATGTATACTGAGTAGATTAATTAAGGCCATGTTTCAGAGTGTTTATGTTAAAAATAAGTGTTTATTGAATAAGTACTTAAAAACAAGTGTTTATTTGAATAAATATTTATTTGCATTTGGTATCAACTTTTTCAAGTGCTTATTTTAAAAAGAGTAAATTTTTAAACTACCCTTATGGTTTAGCTAATTGACTAAGTATATCTTTACTGTTTCACTATTATCTAACGCTATCCCTACTATTCCTGACAATTGATTAGATATATCCTTACCGTTAGCATCCGTTAATATTCCATCATAATTCGTATATACGTGATGTATATTTTTTTAAACCCAATTTTACCCTTATCTTTTTCCTTTCAGCAACGGTGAAAGCCCCCCCCCCCCTCCCCTCTCTCTCTCTCTCTCAATTCTGGACCTCCGACCCAACACCCCTATTTTTCCCATAACATCAGTCCAGCTTGTTGATCTTCATGGTTACACCGATTAACTACAGTCTCATGCCAACATCACTTCCCCCGTTCAAATCCTACCTAAAATACAATCTTAGACTGGCCTTCATCGAATTCATCAAGCCCGTCTTCCCTCTTTGAAAGGAGGGGATCCCCTATTCGTCAAACTCCGTCACGGCGTCGGCAATGGAACAACGTCAATCGTAACAAAGGTCATCTATGTATTGCTTTTGAGTGTGACCCATCCTAGAAGCATTGTCTCCCTCCTTCTCGTTATCCTCCTGGACGTAATCCACGACCACCATGGTCATTCAAAGACAAAAAATGCTATGACAGCAATCGATTGAGATCTCTCCTCTTGCAGTGAATGAATTCAGGTCGTTATCCTCCTGAGATAGGATTGTTGTGTATAGGGGAGGTGGAGAGGGAGAATGAAGAGGGGAAGGGGGTGGAGGAAGAAGAATAGGCGGTGTTGTCCTCGTAGTTGTCAAGGCGTCGCATAGGCGACTAGGCGCCCTTGGCTGGGTGCCTCACCCAAATGCCTTGACTTTTAGAAACTAGGCACCCGCCTAGGCGACAAAAATGACAAGGCGGGCGCCTTTTATAATATCATTTATATTGTTGTATCTTATTAATGTATGTGTTAATACATTTTATTATATGCTATATATATATATATATATATATATATATCAATTATATTTTGTTTTGTTGTTTTATTATTGAAATTTAAAAGATCAAAGGGTTTTGAGAAGAGAAAAAGAAAGAAAGAAAGAAAGAAAAGAAAGGGAAAAGAAACAATAGAATAATAAAGTTCTTTTTTTCTATTCTCTCTCTAATTAAATAAAACAGAAACTCCATCCTTGGTTTTTTTCTATTTTACTTTTCATCTTGAATATTTATCACATAAAGTTAATAACCTTCTTTAGTTGCTAATTAATATAAATTTGCTCTATTAAATACTTATTATAGTAGTATTATTTTTGAAAATAATGAAATTAATATATGTAAAATATTTTTATCTTTTAGATGCAATGATTTGCCACATTTTTAGAGGAAATTTAATGTTCTTAATAAAGAGAATTGTTATTTTTCAATTAACATATATGTTGAATTATATATAAAATTAGGAAACTAGCCAAAAGTCAATTTTTCATATTATAAAATTTTTATCGCCTAGGCGACTAGGCACCCCAGTGTCACCCAGAATCACCTAGACGCCTTAAAAACTACGGTTGTTCCCACTATTAGATTAAATGAAAGGCATCCAGGTTGGTGGGGTTTTCATCAACTGGGTTATTAGAATATCATCTTCATCGTCGTCATAAATCATCCCATTCCTCTTCCATGAGTGGTGCCCCATACTGTTCGGCCACACCCACTCCTGTAAATCTTACAGAGAGCATATGGCCCACTCTTCTTGAAACTCTGACAGATAGCATAAGATTCTTGTAACCAAAAGAGAAGAACAATCAGGATTTAGAAATATAAAAGAAACAAAACAAGAGCTCCCAACCAAAACAAAAGTGTAAACTCAGTGATGTAAAAACCTCAAAATACGCTTGGCATTTCTTGAGCTCCTCATCATCCATGGTATATTCATGCATCACCCAGTCGGTTCATTGACTACTCAGAGCCCGATCCTTATGGAAAACCAAGAGCTTTTTCACGCCTACAGTCCGAGAGTTCGAAATAATGTCGCACACCTTTCCTGTTACTTTCCAGTAACCATTCACAGTCTCCCGATTGGATCTCGGACTGTTGTACTTTTTGTCTCTACGACTGAAGAAGTACCATTGTCTATCCCTACTCTTCAACATGGATTGCGGATTGCGGTACATTTTTCAACACCCACGGCCCACCCATTCATTCATTCAATTGAACGGAAGTTTCCAACCATCGTAACCCGTCCTGAACAGATACAGATAATAGATCTAGTAGGTACAGAACCTCAGATGGGATTGTATAGAGGGGAGGTGGAGAGGGAGAACGAAGAGGGGAAGGGGGTGGAGGAAGAAGATCACTGTCATTGCTGGAAGTTGCAACAGCGGCGGTGATTTTGATCGATGAAGACCATACTGGACTTGGACAATGAAGACCAGACTCAGGAAAATGAAGAACAGGAGGAACTTCTAATTTGACTTAAGGGCAAAATAGACATATCAGCCCTTCTGTCAATATTTTAAGGACAATGGTAATTTTCTGAAATAGTAAGGATAGCATTAGACAATAATCAAATAGTAGGGATATACTTAGTCAATTAGCTAGGGTAGTTTAAGAAATTTATCCTTTTAAAAAATAAGCACTTATTTCAAATTGGAAGTTTGGTACTCTTTTTCTCCAATAAGCATTTGTGACTAGTTTGCCCTTCATTTTCTTTCAAATTTTCAAAATATACCCTTACGAAAGTACTTTTATTAAATTACTTTTATAAAAACACTTTTATGAAAAGTACTTTTACACGAAAGCACTTTTATGAAAACACTGGTAAAAGTACTTTTATAAAAGTACTTTTTCAAAAGCACTTTTACAAAAGTAATTTTATGAAAGCAATTTAATAAGAGCATTTTTACAAAAACGCTTTTATAAAAGCACTTTTACAAAAGTACTTTTATAAAAGCACTTATGTGAAAGTACTTTTATAAAATTCAACTAGGGATATTTATAAGGGATAATTTTATAAAAAAAAAAAAAAACTGGAAATTTGGGCTTAAAAAATAAGCCCTTATTTTTAAAACAAGCACTTATTTCAAGCTTATTTCCCAAACACCAATAAGTGCTTAATGGTGTGGTCCCAGCCCAAATAAGAACTTAGTTTTAGGCACTCCCTAAGTTGAATGAAATATGTCTATCTAGCTTAAAAGAGGAAAAAAATGTTATCCTCTCCAGGTTCAGCATCTAATTATCAAGGAGGGAACTCACTTTAATAAGGAGGGTATTCTCCTCTCTCCCTATCTACTTAATATCCTATCTATGTAGAAGTCACTGTGGACAATTGCCCCCACTGATATTTGAAAATGTTCTTATATAATTACGAAAATTATGAAGAAATTTGAATTTTTTTACAATTGCCCCCACTCAAATAAAATAATAGGGGGTCAAATAAAATTAAATTTGGCTTCTTAATTATATGAGGTTATTTTCTTAGAGGCGAATAGGTAAGAAATAGGAAAAAATATAAAAGAGTGACACCTAAGTCTCTATTCCATATTGACCAAGTTATGGGGCCATTTTTTCCATGTCACACCCCTCGACAATTCAATCTCATCTCACTACTTCGTCTCCTCAAACCTAGAGATGGCAATTTTCCTTATCCCCATTGGGTATCCATCCTCACAGCTTGGTACCCTACCCCCCACTGATCAAAGGTCCTAGATCCGCCACTGAATGTCCTTATACCCAATCCCAATCATATGGATACTCGGTGTGGAAACGGATTGAAAAACGCCAGTCTATTATTGAGCAAAGAAGTTGAGTATGAAGTGGGAAAGGAACAAAAGTTAAGTTCTAGGACTGCTGGTGTGGGGATCAGCTCTTGATGGAAGAGTTCCCAGAACTTTTTGCAACAGCAGTTGACAAGGATGCGTGAGTGGCTGATTACATGCAGGCCTCAAATGGTGGGGTATGGAACCTACTTTTTAGAAGAGCATTGAAGGATCGGGAGTTGGAGGCCTGATATACAAACTCTAAAGCTTGCAAATTGACACTACCATGAAAGACAGTGTGACTGGAAGAAAAATCAGGGCAGTTTTCTGTAAAATCTTTTTATAACATATTAACCAAGGAAGAGGAGCAAGGCTTTCCTATAGGTATAATCTGGTGCAAATATATTCTCTCAAAGGTAGTTTTTTCGCCTGGTCTGCCTACTTGAATAAAATCCTTACTAAGGATAACTTGTCAACGAGAGGAATGGTGATTGATTCAGAAGAAAGTATCCTCCGAAATAGGGTGGAAAAGTCGGTAAATCATTGCTTTCGCATTGCAATTTCACTTACAGCATCTCAGTGAGAATTTTCAAGATCTTTGCCTTCAAGGGATGTTTCTCAGCATCAGTAGAAGACTTCGTGAAAAGTTGGTGGATCAAGGGATTAATCAAAAAGGAAAAAGTCATCTGGCAAATGATTCCAGGAGCAGTGTTCTGGTTATCTGGCAAGAAAGGAATTTAAGGGTATTTCAGAACAAAAGTTGTCAAATGGAGGCGTAGCAGGAGTTAGTGGGCAAACTGTTCTCCTGGTTATCGGCTCAAATACGACTGGAAAGATCAAATTATAGCTCTCTTCTTGAGTTTGAAAATCTTTTTGTAAACACAAGGGATAGTGGTCTAATTTTATTTTTGGTTTACTGTTTGTACAGCCTCTGATTGTACAGAGGCCTCACTTTTTATTCTAATGAAATCATACTTTACCTCTTCTCAAAAAAAAAAAAAAGATCAGGGAGGGAACATTTCTTTACAAAATATAAGATTTAATAAAAGCTACTTTACTAATCCCAGAACATATTATATGTTCAGTAACCCCACTCACCCACACACATACTCAAAAAAACTTTCAAGTAAAACAACAGGAAATGAACTGTAGTCAACCCAATTTCATATAAACAACTTTCACATAAATTTCTTAATCATTGAAAAAGCTTCCTGAAACCATCAAATATCCGAAGGGCCCTCAATTCGCCACTCCTCATGTCCCTCAATCTTCTCCTTAATATCTGGGTTAGTTCAGATAAAACATCATAAGCATTCATCATGGAAAAATAACAGTTATATATACAAAAATGAACAAAAGAAATAAGAGATAACTCATGAAAAGGAATTCTACTTATATCATCAACATAACAAGGGAAAAATGAGCTATTTTAGTTAACCAATCTGCTACATTGTTGGCTTCTCTAGAGGTGTCAGTATACCATATCTTATATTGTAAGCATGCAAATGACTTTCTAGGTTAGACACTGATTTACCTTGTATATTATTATGATTTCAAACTTGTAACAAAAATTGGTTATTTGTCTCCATCAGGAAGAAATTATAATTACAGAAAATAGAGCATGTTACAAACTATAAAACCTTACATATTGGGTGCGAAATAGAATCCTACGCTCACTAGTACACAGGTCCACAGCTAACTGCTTCAAAAACAATTTCCGGTTCACTTGTTTTGGAGATGCCACATCTATATCAATAGACCCGCTTCCCTGGGAATGTGAAAAAAATAAAATCAATATAAAGAAATTGCAGCAGATAGCGTCATAGAAAGCTATGCATATAAAGCATAAACCTCAGTAGTCAAAACAAACATGCCCATAAAACATGGCTAACCAGACCTGAATTTTTATGAACATTCTTTTCATATATGTGGAACATCAATTTGACCAGTTCAACCAGAAAGACATAACTTTCCAACAAATAATTTCTGTTTGATAACCGAAACAGATTCTATACCTGAAGGAATTTGTTGTACTTTGATATGCTTGATTCACAACTACCTAAAATAAATTGCAGGGCTTGCTCCTCTATCTCTGGATATCTGATGTCCTTCTTAGACGTGCTTTTATTTGAGGCTACCGCAGCCATCTGAAGCAGAATTTCATTAAAGACTTGTAAAACACAATACACCTGTTAATTTCATGAAAGACTTGCAAAATTTCATGAAAGTAATAACACTTTCTGGTAACCTATATATCTTTGAATGCATATACTAATTTTACATTATGGACATCATCAAGGTTTGAAATTTCGATACATATGGGACTGTATCAGCCGATACATATCATATCGGGAGCCTCCCGATACGCCCCTACAGGGGGTGTTTCGGGGCCTTGACCAGTTCAGAGGGGGACGGACCTTAAACAGGCCCCTCTCTGAACCAGATTTGAAAAAATACTAAAATATATATATATATATATATATATATATATATATATATATATCGATACTGCCCGATACGCCTCTACCGGCGATTCGGGCGTATTGATATTTTGAACCTTGGACATCATAGATAACAAAGAAGTTAATTAGCCACTTGAGAATGTTAAACAAACAGCAAAAAACAAATGTTGCACAAACCTCTTCAAATTGTGCACGCATACTTGGGGGGCTGACTACTAGGTATGCATATGCCATTAGTTCCAAAGGCCAGCCAGTGATTTGCAGAGGAAACCGCTGTGACCTGCTTAAAAAATGGAATACATGTAACCATTACAAAATGTGCAAATTTGAGTGGCAGCAACCAGGATAACATAAATTCCTCTAAAGGGTAAAAGTGTAAAACCAGATCATAGTAATGATGTTTGTAATTTCATGATAGGTGATAAGATAGAAATTAAAGAACAAAGTGACCGATGATAATCTATAACAGAATCTCAAACTAGCAGATAAGACTCATTCAGTAAGCTAGGTACTCACACTGACAGCCCATGCTTGCGTAAGGCTTCTGACTTCTCCCTGTAACATTTATCAGACTTGTTAAGTGACAAAGGCAACTCAACCATGTCATTTGGGTTGGTTCCCTCCCTTGGAACAAATCCATATGATAGTAGTAGCTCTCCATTTGATTTCTTGCCATATGAAATAAAAACCTGAGATATAAATTATGTAGACAGTTAGACATGCTGAAATTATATCCCTACTAAAAGAAGCTTAAAGACATAAAAGTAATTATTCTTAATATTAAGTCATCGTTACACAGTGAAACAAACAAAAATTGATGACAGCACATTACATGAGTGCTGCTCAACCAAAAGTTTTACAATTTCAGTCATCACATAAGCCCAGACGCTACAAGGACCAATCCAGAATTTGGACAACTTCCCTTTCATGGACGTTCTAGCCTTCTAGGCCTACAGTCGATTAAAGCTAATTTGACCCTCTAATGCAGCTTTCATTGATGTTGCAGATCCCAAATTTTATTCAGATAATGCGAAATGTTTAAAAAAAATGAATTCCTACAATTTATTAAAAGACTATAGACCAAATCACTCAAAAAAATTCAAAGAAGAAAAAAAATCAGATAGATTGGAAGTCTCAGAAACATCTTCTTAAGAGTTAAGGTTTTTATTTAATTAGCATTAGCATTCGTAAATCCACAGCACCAACCTACAAGCATGGTAGATAGTTTCTGGTTTTACCTGCTCACCTGGCTGATATGGCTGATCAGTTGTGAAAACAATTCCCTGTGAAGATTTATCATAATCCAAATATGTCTCCACCTAGAACAGTCAGGTGCAGACATCCATTATTAGTGTTTGGACCATATATTGGTTACATGAAATCTCTAGTAATAAATGTGTCATTTTTCCCAAGAAGATAACAATTTACTGCAATGAAAATACCTCACAATTATGATTAAGCATATCTGCCCAAGGGACTAACGCAACCCTTCCATCCATTGAGGGCAACCGGACCTGAGATAACAGGAAATAACAAATCTATTCACCATTCATATAAGCCAATTATTTTCCTTGAATGGTCCACATGAAACCTTTGACCTTTAAAACTTTAATGCAGCCAAAATTTGGTAAGATATAATGTTAATATTGTGATGGTATTAGTATACCTGAAGATATGTATGTATAAAGAATAATCATGTAGACAGTAATGATTTTACTTACCAATCGTGAGAAGAGAATACCAAATGACCATTTGAATGTCTCCATATTAAATACCTGAATATATATTCATTTGTAAGTTGATAATGAAACCTTGAAAGTAGGAATAGAGATTCATGGCAGTTCAATTATTGTGCACAGTTAAAGGAAAACAAGTTCCAGTTTCATACATTCATATTGGTATAGCAATTATTTTGTCCCCCTCTAAATTAGATTCCTTCGATTTTCTAAATAAGAAGGGCAGATTGAAGGAAACATGCAAGTTTCAAGGTATTGGGCATAAATCAAGAAAACCAGCGCCTTAAAGTGAACAGAGTAGCACCTCCTCAGGAAATAAATGAGGATACTTGGAAAATATCCTAAGCCGTAGATCATTGTACCTGAAGACACAAACAGAGACAACGTTCAATTATGACAAGCCATGAAAAGGTAAACTATGCGCAGCTCAACATAAAAAGAGAATTAAAGTTTTTTTTATCAGCAGAAGAAGCTAGAACCCTAAAATCAAGTGCATAAGCAAATAACTGAGAATGAATATTGAACAGGAAAGGAAATGCATACGTTCCAGTAACATCAGTAATCCTTTCAATTGCTCGCTCCCTGATTTGTGAGGCTACCAAATATGTGTCTAACTCTGAGCGTGTCCTGAAATGATATATAGAGGCTGTAGGGGAAAAACTGAGAGTAGACCCTTCTGTAATGGTAGAAGAAAAACTTTGAGGTGCGCCCCCATGTAATTTAGTTAAGGTACAAGAGCTACCAGTACAAAAGTGAGTATGGTTGTCGAGGTAAGGCTGAGATATAATTGCTCCATCTTGAAGACTTCATTATACTTGCTTCACTGATTAGGTACGTTGCAAGCAATGGCCAATCTGGCACAAAATTTCTTTTTAAAACTTCACCAACTTCCGGACAGCTCCACTCCTAACACCCAAGAAAGGAAAATAAGGATAGTTGTCTCATAAACAATGCGGATATCGTTTCTGAAAAGTCATGAACACATCAAAACTCAGATACATTTACTTGTTAAAAGCATCGAAGTAATGTGATATAATGACTTCTCTACTTACTCCAGTAATCGACTCTATAAACTAATATGGATTTATGAACCACTAAATGCATGCTATAGTAGTCCAGCATAGAATCATGTGTGATACAAGCATCCCATAAACCTATCAGACCATAATTTTCAGACCACGGAGCTAATTCTTAAATTTTCCATAGTCCAAAGGTCTGTAAAGTTGAAAACACGCCTAGACGTACAAATATGAATCAAATCCTAACTTTTAATCTAGTTAGTCATTTCAATTAGTGATCCCAACGTCAGCATCTCCTATAATACGAAAAGAAGGGGAAAAAAAAAGGAAAAGCAATTCAAAATGTTCTGGCGTTATAATCTAACTCGAGACTCTGGCTAGGAAGAGCACTCATGACTTTCGCTTCCCATCTTGAAATATATCTTACCGAGTCTGCCGTGATAACAAGAGATGGAGGTATAAAGAGCAGTTTCTCCCCCTTTCTTATGTTCTTGAGAGCAACTAGGCCTCTCTCTCCGATATCTACTTTTTCGATGGCCATTTTCTGAGGCGGGAGACCAGATTCAGATAACCATTTCTGCAAAGCTGATGCATTCTCCAGTGAGTCGACGTCACAACCCCAAGGAATTTTCTGGCTTACGCTTACCAAGGCCCTCGTGCTGTCATTGGATGTCGCGGAGATAGAGCAACGAATTGAATTCCTATCGCGGGCCGTTGGCAAAGCAGAAGTTCTTCGCGACGGAGAAGGGTTTTGTGAGAAATGTGGGATAAGTGTGGTGTAGAGTGATGTAGAAGCTTCGGCCATGGATGCACGGAGAGAGAAAGGGGCAGAGAGATGCAGGAGGAAAACGTTATCTGACGAAAATGTGAGGTGAGGTTTTAAAAATCGGATCAAGCATCGGTATCGATATCGTATCACACAATTTGGATATCTATAATTTGTAAACTTATAAAAATAAAAAAAATATATAAAAGTATTAAGAAATATATATAAATTTCATAAATATTTTAGTTACATTAATTTTAAGGTCAAAATAATCATAAAAAAAATATAAATATATAAGAAATATATATTTTAATAATATATATTAAAAATATATTACAATTAATATAATAGGATGCATAGATATTATATTAATAATCCATTAACTAAGAGTCCAAGGCTCATATTATATAGATCTTTACAAATTACTATATGTATAAAATTATTATTATGTTCTCTTCAAGTGCAAGACAGAAAACATATGCAATTATTATATCAATTATTTTATATTTTACTATTTTTACTTTAGAACATTAACAATAAAAGTCAACTGAATATTAAATATTGAAATGTTTGATAAACAATATATTTTTTTTATAAATAATAAATATTTTATTATAAAATATAAATTAAAATATCAATTGATAATTTATAAAATATATAATCTTAACTTAAAATCTTTAATATCTATATATTAAAATTTTTAAAATGCATATCATATGTAAATTCATAATTTTTAATTACTAAAATAATTATTCCATTATTAACACTTTTATTTCAACAAATTTTATAAAATAAGAAATTATTTTTTATATAAATTTAAATTAGTGGATTTGATAGATTCAATATAATATTATATGCTTAAAAATTTTATTTTTTATAAATAATAAATATGCTATTATCTAGTGCAAATTAAAATATCAATTAATAATAAATATGTACAAATGTATGAATTTTAAGTACTAAAATAACTATTCTATTATTAATATTTTTATTTGTATAAATTTATTGAGAATAAAAAATCAATCTTTGATATAAATATAAAATTAGTAGAATTTTATTTCATTTATAATTATAAATATTAATTTTTAATATTGCATGTTTACAATAAAAATAATAAAATTAATTTATTTCACTTCACATCACAAATTAAAGGGTGGCTTAGTTGTTTAGACACTAAGCGCTTAGTATCTAATCACGCAAGGTGCATGTTTCTGTGTGTATCGACGCTATCCAGTATCATCTACTACGCGTACCAATACGATATGCCTTCGGATGTATCATATCGATATTATTCTAATCCATGATCTCACCGGAGGATGCACTTTATTTGTTTGTTTTTCTAGTTATTTAGTTGTTTTATCACTTTATAGCGGGTAAAAGGGTAGTTTAGGAATGTCGAATCAATATTGGCTATGCTACTTTAGGGCATCCAAGACATTCATTTAAGTGGATTTTCATCGAGGGTAAGATTTGTCCGTTGGATTAATATAATTCTCGTTTTCATTTTCGCCTGCAAATGTACTACCGTTAAAAAGGAATCCAATATAAAGAATGGTTGTGATCATAAGGGTTAAATAGTTTCTTGGCATTTCTTCTCACCGAACAATATGAAATTACGAATAAAATTTTTCAAAACCAAATTACCTTTATCAAAGTGAACACATCACTGAAGTATGAACAAAAACGCACATATTTCCTCAAAAATTCGTTGGGAGTTAAAAGTACAAATATAGGTTTTATACAAACTTTACATCATTTAAGTTTTTACTAAAATGGACAAAATGTTTAACCATCTAATCAAGCTACCAAAGACATGAAAAAAGCCAAAGACTTGTAGTGTTTGGTTCAATTGGCGTTTTCATAAACATTTTTATTGGTTTTGGCTATTTTGTGGGGCATTTTGAGTAACATCCTATAAAAGTATTTGCCACTTGAGCACAATAAACATTTTTCCTTTTGGACTGTGTGGTGGGGTGTTTCAAGCAACAACACCATAAACAATTCTAACCAACCAAAGGGTGGTTCGTCAGTATGTTAGCTAGTTTGCTCTAATATTGACGCAAAATGGATTCCTTCAACCACCAATTTGGGGAAAATGAGGGTTATTAGTGGTGTGTGGCACCAAATACCAAAAAAAAGCCCATAAAGTTGATGGAACGGTCTAGAATGTTCGCATATGTCTATAATGGCTGAATTTGAAATCCAATGGTTGATCTTGCGTGCAAATCAAATCTAGAGGCTCATATTATTTGATGACACATGACAAAAAGGAGAATCCCTCTTATTTGACACACGAGTTGCATTAAAATAGAAAATAATAAATATACATTTCATTTGAAAATATAATATTAGTAGAACAAAACCGAAGCATTGCTTCCCCAAATGCCTCAATGCACCAAAACCCAAACATTTATGTTTTCTGGTGTTTAATTGATAAACACCGAATCAAATAAATGCTAATGCCTATGTGGTGCTGACATGGCAGCGTTTTCTCGAAAAAAAAATGGCAATAGAACCAAATATCTTGTTAATCCACTCATTTGTGGTTTCAAATGTTATTAATAATTAATATATTATTAATTAATTAATAATTGTTTTATTGTTGTTTAATCATTTTAATAATTATTCTATAAGTTATTACATTTTTTACTCATTTCAAGTTATTTCACCTTTTGTATAGTAATTATTACCAATCATTTTATTGTCATTGGTAAAATTATCAATGGTCATATTTTCAAACTTGAACATTTAGATTTTGAAATCACAAATTTTACCTAGAGGTTTTTTGGTTTTTAGAGATTGGAGGTTAGTGCAACCAAACATCTTAGGCCTCATTATTGTTCTATGAGAATGTTTCTATTGTATTCCCGACGTACCCATGGAACAAGAATAGGTTTGGGAAGCAAAAAGTAAAAAACCACACGAAGTAGCCCAGATAGGAATAGAAACAAAGCTCCAAAATCATGATCCTAAGAAATGATGAATTTGTTATTTCTTAGCAATGCAAAACGATAATGCGTTGTCCCCGTTCATTGGTTTTATTTAAAATAGCAAACATGTGTGCACCTACCTCTTTCATGTGTTAAGAGGGGTATTTTAGTAATTTTGTATCAAAATAGAAATTGGGACGACGTTTTCATTTTCAAGCTTTTTTCCTATTGGTTTTCTTCCACCAATTTCGTTGACAAGGCATCAAAAGTAAAAAATGTTTTGGAGTTTGTTCTTTCTCCAACTATCTGCTGAGCAAGTAGCATTACTTTCACTTATTATTCTATTGCGAAGGTCTCATTTGGTTTGTAGGAATAGGGGTCTGAAATAAAAAATCGGAATGAGTTATTCTAATTCCAACTGTTTGGTTGGGTGGAACTGGAATCTCTACTAGAATGGCATTCCCCATTTCCTTACCCCTCCCTTGGGAATGAAATCCCATTCCTTGTTTCCCCATAACATGTATAGTAATTTGGTATTACAAGCACTGTTAAAGACGACAATATCGTGACATGTGGTTGTCTACCATGCATGATGTGAACTATAGAAGTAGTGATTGAGAATATGATTTCAATGTTACAGTGAGTAGAAGCAATGACTAAGAATGTGATTCTAAATGTTGTTTCTACTTATGTAAAATAGGAAATTGTTCCTGAGGAATAGATTGTCAAATGCCTCAATTATTCCTCGAGAATCAGAAATAAAATTCCTATTCCAGCAATATGCAAGAACTAAGGGTGGCAACGAGCTGTTCAGGCTCGGCTTGGCTCGGTTCGGTTCCAACCGAGCTTGAGCTCGAGCTCGAGTCCAATTCATTGGCTCGATTATGAAATGAGCTGAGCTCGAGCCTGCTACAACTCGGCTCATAAGGCTCGCGAGCCGACTCAAATATATATATAATAAAATTATAGAAAATAATATATATGTAATAAAAATATTATAATTTTTAATTATTATAGTTCTTATTTTTTTAAATATCAAAAAAATATTTTTATATATAATTGTTTATTTTTATAAAATAATTTTCCTCAAAATCGAGCTCGAGCCAAGCCGAACTCAAGATTAAGGTTCTAGCTCGAACCAAAATCGACTCGGCTCGAATCCACCCCTAGCAAGAACAATTACAAATAGGGCCTTAATAACCAAGAGCTTGAGTATATAGATGAGTGTTTCCTTTTGCTAAAAATATCCTAGATATGGCAAATGAGCTTTCCATCTTCTTTTCCTTTATAAATAAGCAAGTAAATGAGCTTTCAACATCAAAGGTTCTTTGAACCCTCTTTCGTGGACTTTATTTGTGATTTGGCAATCTTTGATCTACAAAACCTTTTATATTTTTTTCTTTTTTGGTTCTTTTCTTTCTATAATTGTGTTTGTATGAGCCTTTCTTTTATTTTAATGAATCATCTTTATTATCTTCAAAAAATAAAAACACACAAAAAATGAAGTATAGGCATTGGCAAAATCCTTCCAATAAATCGTGAGTCTAATTCCAATAAAATACAACTCCATCCTTGCTTCAAAATATACGAGTGTCCTAGTTAAGGTTCAAAAAATTGTTATGTATTGGCCCGTATCAACTGATATGTATCGTATCGAGAGTACCCTGATATGCCCTTATAGAGGGTGTATCAGGGTTTTGATTGGTTCGGGGGTGGAGAACTTAAACCGGCCCTCGAACCAGATTTGAAAAAAAAAAGTAAAAAAATGACAAAAACAGTATGATAATGCCCGATACACCCCTATTGGCATATTGGACGTATCAATATTTAGAACCTTGGTCCAAGTACGGCACATTCATTAATATTTTTATACATCAGGATTTTAAACAATCACCTTAAAATGTTACATGATTTATTTAATTTTCATCAATTCACATTTGGCAAGACAAACTCACTATTAAAACATTAAAATTAAGTATCAATTGTGACTTGCCATTTAATCATTACTTTGCATTCACACACAATAAATGCACTATAAAAGGAATTCGGGTTAGCTGAACGCAATGGTTGTTCGGTTGGCTATGGAACCAATGATGAGGTTCCACGACAGTAAGAAATTCATGGGCCCCATTGTGAAAGGTGTGGGCCCCATGTATTTTATTACTGGCATGAAACCTTATCATTGGTTCCACAGTCTACTGAACAACCGTTGCGTTTAGCCAAACCTTGCTCTTATAAAAATAATGTTTTAAAAACTCACCCAAATGTCAAACTATTTTTTTTTTTTTCGAGTCATAGGTCACTGGTTTGACCATCTAGGTTAGATTAGTCAGATCATGCCACGTCAACACTCTATACATACATACATACATACATACATACATACATACATACATACATACATACATACATACATACATACATANTACATACATACATACATACATACATACATACATACATACATACATACATACATACATGCATGCATACATACATACATGCATGCATACATACATACATGCATGCATACATACATACATGCATGCATACATACATACATGCATGCATGCATGCATATAAACACATATTTTATCAATAAAAAATGTATAATTATGCTCTACATGTAATATATGTATTATACTATATTTAATTTATGTTTTTACTTTTTATTTGTAAAAAAATATTAAAAATTACAAATTAAGACCAAAATAAGTTTTTTTTTTATTTCACGAAAATAATGAGGTATAGTGCCTTGGACACATAGGTCTTGAAAAAAAGATCACAATTAGATATTGGAGTGCAAAGTTATGGCCTCTAAAAGTTTGCATACATATTTAGTGTGCAACTTGTGACCTGGTCACTAGGTCAAATGGTTTAATGGTTTACACCTAGTCAAATGGTTTGACCAATCTTCGGATTTTACTAAAAACATTATATAAAAGATTCATTCTACATCTCCTACCCACAAACTATTCCCACACCCCTATTGTCACATGGGTTTTTTCTGTCAAACCCTCGTGTGGCATCAAGCATTTCCCTTGGTCAGCCAAGTAATAGAGAATGGAAACAAAGGAAACAAAGCACACAAGAGGTTGTTAGAGGGTCGTCACCCCAATACTTTATTACTACACAATAAGGGGAAATGCTCACACCTAAGGGTGCCCCCGACATCCTAGTCAGGCCCTATAAATAGGCCAAGCATACAGTAACAAGGTGCTTCATAGGACAACTCATGCCATGTTGGCTTGCAGGCCGGGCTGGGCCATGCTTGCTACCTATGGGATGCTTTAGAGGTCTAGCCTGGTACGGGCCCAGGAAAACCCGAGCCAAGCCATGAGAAGTATATTTAAAAAAAATTGAAAAAATAATAAAAATTTTAAAATAAATTAACAAAATAGACAAAAAAATTGAAAAATATCTTAGAATTTTAGTTTATTTGAATTTTGATGCATAATTGTTTATATATATGCAATAATAAAAATGAAATAGTATAACGGAATTATATATGGGTTGTGTCAACACTTGGCCAAGGGTAGCGCAGACCGCTCGATTGTACTATGCCATGCGGTGTCGGCCCATGAGCTTGGAAACCTAAAGCCAACATGGCACACCCCATCTTGCCGTTCTCGACACAGCTCACATGCTGCCATGCTAGGCCAGACCAAGATCATACGCGGGGCAACATGACCTGATTACGACTCTAATAGGGACGTTGCCAATGTGATTTATTTTTAACCATGGTTTTCAAAGGCTACTGAGGCGAGGTGAGAGGCGCACACCTCAAGGTGAGGCAGCCAAATTTCACATGGCCTTGGTAGCCTCAGTCTCAACTCATGGGGTGTAAGCCTCAATTTTAGTGAGGCGTAGTCCAGATTCAATATTAAAATGCTTTTTAACATTTCCTAAACTGAAATGCAAATCAGAAATATATTGAATTTGGATCAATATTAATTTATTATTTACTTATTTATTAAATGAACGTGATAAATGCTGTGATGATACATGTTGCATACTTGCATACAATGAACATGATATTGTTATTTATTAATTTGATTACAAATTTATTATTCTCATTTCTTTTTTTTGTTAATTTATCCTTGGATTAATTTTTATACAAAATTTGGCATGTTCAACTTGATTTGAACACTCAACAATTATTAAAACCATACATTGAGCCACAAATAATTGTTTAAACTTTCAATTATTTATTTTTTCATAAGTTTTAAATTTAAGGCTTACGCCTCACATCACCTAGAACCTTACGCCTGATACACCCAACCGCCTCGCCTCCGCCTGACCTCTTTAAAACCTTGATATTAACTGCCCCCCACTTTCGCTTCCCAGTCCCCATTTCCAACGCTTCCGAATTCAGCCGCGAAGGTGAATTTCCACCACCTGTAATATAAATACAAAGCCCATGGCTTCCTGGATTATCAGCACTCAGACCTCATGCACCTCCTTTCACTTCTCGCCAAAAATGTTACCCAAWACAAACCTCGTTTCCTGCAATTTCTCGTCCTCGCTCCCTTCCCTCGCACCCAAAACACAAACTATTGGAGTTTTATTTCAATCCCATCGCAAAAATTCTGGTCCTGGTATTTCGTTTCTTAAAACCCTACACACCAAAATATATCTTAAGCCCTTCTGCAATGTTTCACCTGGGCTATCCCTGTTCAGGAAAAAGGATTTCGTTCATATTTGTCGGAGTTCCTCCAACACTCAGAATTCAAAAGACATAGTCTTGAGTGAAGGGGCTTCTGGAGAAACAAGGCTTGGTAATGGAAATGGTGGGAATGGAAGGGACTGGACGACTTCTATTCTGCTCTTCGGCTTTTGGATTGGCCTCATGTACTATGTTTTCATGCTCACCCCAAATCAAACTCCGGTACTATATCTTTACTGTGTAATTTTCATTGAGTTGCATTGGAAGGACACTGTTAGTTATATTCTGCAACTGAGACACTACCACTCATACAAATGATTCCCGGACGGCCATTAGCTATGAGAAGTTCCAGTTAATTTGAGAAGCATTTTTGCAACTTTTGTGTTGTCTGTTGATGGGAAACAAATCATACAACTGACTGTATCTTTTAATCACGGTGGCAGAAACTAGCTTATGCTTTTCTTGGTTGCTTATGGTTCTAAATAGCCATTTCTGGACCTTAGAATTAGAAGCATTTGTATAATTGGGACTTTTTACTTTCTAATCTTCAAATTTGAGATGCATGCTGGTCCAATTGGGGTTTCTATCTCAAAGCGGGCTGGATTGTATAATTACAAATATTGATCCCTGGGGGGGGGGAGAAGAACCTTTCCACATTGTCTAAGAAATACGATGCTCCAAACGGAAATTAAAATGTGCAAATATTATCTACAAGACAGGTTAACTTGACATGATGTACATAGGTATCCCATTAATGAACTGTATATGCTGTGAGTCTTGACCCCATATAGTTGGGATAAAGCTTTATTGAGTTACCACATGCTGTAAGACTATCCTATAGATGATCCTAAAAGGGTCATTGCCCAATGTATGTGTTGTCTATCCAGGTTCTTGAAAGAAGTGGGTTTTGCTTCTAATACAAAGTCTTAATTTGCTTTGTTTAATTTCTATATTTAGCTTGACATGTTCTAACTTATGGACTTGTTTTTCAGTCAAGAGATATGTACTTCTTAAAAAAGCTTCTGTACTTGAAGGGAGATGATGGCTTTAGAATGAATGAAGTTCTGGTATCTCTATGGAATATCATGGGTTTGTGGCCTTTGGTGTATACCATGCTTCTTGTTCCAAGTGGCAGAAGGTAGGTGCAAATTTTCATACTTAGTACCATTCATATTTCGTTATTCCACCCACACATGATTTCTTTCTTCCTTCGATTTCATTGAAATTCTGAAGTAATGTTAGAAGGCCAACTTTGGACAACTTCTGGCAATTCCTAGAATTATCTGCGAATAATTTGCAAATCTGGCAAGTTTTCAAATATCCTAGGGATGCAACTTGGGTGGGCTCCATGGTTTTTAAAACTGAATCGGTGACCGAACCGGTCAGGGGGTCCGGTTACCGGTTCGAACGGTCGGCCCGTTCTGACAAAAAAATAAAAAAATTTAAAAGAATTGAAAAATGGTCAAAACCGTTCGAACGGTTAACTGGCCGGTTCAGCGGTTTGCTGACCAAAATCAACGGTTTTGGGGAAAAAAGTGGTTTTGGGGGAAAATGGAACTGGTCAGGTGATCGGTTCTTGGTTTTTCCGGTCCGATCGTCCGGTCCGGTCCGGTTTTGAAAACCATGGTGGGCTCAGGTACCCCCAATTTGCACCCCTAAAAAATCCATTAATTCTGCAACCTTTCAAAAGTTTGGCAAAAAATTCATGAACCATTCGGAAAAATGAATAATTCATCTGGTAAAAGACTTGGTCTAAAAACATATGGGTTATTTTGTTCTATTATATATTATTTACATCGTTTAAATCATTGTTGTTAGATTTGTACTAGACTAGACCACTAGACCACCAGAATTGGGAACTGACAGCCAAAATGTTTTTTTTTTTGGTTGCCTAATTCTTAGAAATGCTAATTTGGTCAAACTTGTTAAACAACATAAAATAGCTCCGATACCATGTCAACCAACACAAAATAGAATAACAACTCAAGGAGGAAACAAGAAGAAGAAATAGAGAAACATGAAGGTTTAATGTGGTTCGCCTTGGTGGCCTACATCCATGGGAGGAGAGGAAACATATCCACTATGATAACAAGAGATACAACTCTCTCTCTCTCTCTCTTAATCTCTTCCTCACTCACTCATCCTCATTCCCTAATCTCACACAACTACTTGCTTAAATAAGCAAAAGACGGAATCACGTCAGAATTACACACAAGCCCCTTTTTCTAACCTAAATACATATAGGTCTCCATAACTTATCAATATTACAAATACAATCAGATACAGTATATCTCTCAACACACCCCCCTCAAACTCAAGGTGGGAAAACCAGCTTGAGTTTGCAAGTAAGGATGTTGAAGTGGCTTCCATGGAAATAGGTTTACTATTGAAGCAGCAACCATGAACCTTGAGATATTGAACAGACCTCTGAAGCAATAGTTCACCGATTCACCAAGGGAGATTCACATGTTCACCAACAAAGTTATCACCACACTACAAACATCCCAACTATCCAATCTAATTCAAGACTCAGTCAGTAGACACTACGCTAGTAGTGTAAGGGATTCAGGAAGTCTTGATAGCCTTTCCTATACTATAATCTTTCCTTGGATCCTAGGCGCAAGGATTTACAGCCCTTTATAGAATAGAACCTCCAGATTCTTCAAATAAAGCAAGTATCGACAGGCCTAGTCCTTTTCCTCTGCTTCTGCTGGTCAAAAATTCTGTGAGTTCTATCAGCAGAATAAGGGATTCCAATTCTTTTGTTGATCAGGCGACACCCGGACTTGAGGCATCACAACCACTTTTCCAAGTCACAAAACACCACCAACTCACAAACAACCACAACTTGAGGAATCAAAGCCTCTTTTCCCATGCACAAAACCACTACCAACAAACAACCACAACTTGAGGCATCAAAGCCCCTTTTTCCAACTCACTAAACCACTTCCAACAAACAACCAGAACTTGAGGCATCACAGCCAATTCACAAAATCACAAATAACCACAATTTGAGGCTTCAAAGCCCCTTTTCCAACTCACCAACTCACAAGCAACCACAACTTGAGGCATCAAAACCCCTTTTCCAACCAACCACCAAACAGCCACAACTTGAGGCATCAAACACCTTTTTCAATTCACTAAACCATCATCAACTCATGAACAACCACAACTTGAGGCATCACAACCTCTTTTCCAACTCACCAACTCACAAGCAACCACAACTTAAGGCATCAAAGCCCCTTTTTCCAAATCACAAACTCACAAACAACCACGACTTAAGGCATCAAAGCCTCTTTTTTCCAACTCACAAAACCACCACCAACTCACCAACAACTGCAACCTGAGGCTAGTAGTCGATTACTACACGAAGTGATTTCGTAGTAGTCGACTACTACCTCAACTGAACATGAACTAGCAGCAATTGGAACACCTTCACAACTCACAAAATCATTTATCACACCACTATTAAACACTTCACAACAACTAGAACACCTTTACAACAATCGGAACACCTTCACAACAACTAGAACACCCACTCTGATACCATGTTAAATAGCATAAAATATCTCTGATACCATGCATAGTTTTCAAGGTGCCAAGGCGAGGCTAGGCGACTGGGGGGCGCCTTGTCGCCTAGTCGCCTAGGCGGGTGCCTAGGCAATGAATTTTTTATGTTAAAAACATAGATCCTAGGGTAGTTCCCTAGGTACCATAACCATATTTCTTTAATAATTATTCATGATTTTCATAAAAAAGTGTAAATTTCATATTAAAGTATAGAAAATCAACATATTCATGAGAAGAAAAGGAAGAAGGAAAATAAAATTAAAAAAATACAGGGCTGAACCCTTATTTTTGTTATAGGAAAAGATGAAAATAAAAAGTATTGGTAGTAGTAGAAGAAGAAGAAGATGAAGAAGAATATATGGAAGAGGAAAATGTGCTGATTAGATAAAATTTTAAATTCTTCCTTGCTTGTTGGTTCAGGTTTTTAAGTCTTTGAGGGTTCAATACAGCATTTAGTAATATTTGTGTTGATTAAGCCCTAATAAATAAGAAAATAATAAAAAGAAATTATTATATAAACACACAAAATGATTATTTTAGTTTAATAATGTCTATTTTATAATTATAATCTCAAAAAAGAATGAACAAAAAAGTATTTTATAGTAGGAAGTAGAAAACTGCTTGGCGATTAGGCGAGCCGAGCCTCAAAGGGCGCCTTGTCGCTTAGGCGTCGCCTTGACAACTATGATACCATGTCAACCAACATAAAATAGAATAACAACTCAAGGAGGAAACAAGAAGAAAAAATAGAGAAACACCCAGTTTAATGTGGTTTGGCTTGGTAGCTACATCCACGGGAGGAGGAAACATATCCACTATGAGAACAAGAGATACAACACCGTCTCTCTCTCATACTCTCTCTCTCTCTCTCTCTCTTCCTCACTCCCAAATCTCACACAACCACTTGCGCAAAAGACTGAAATACATTAGAATTACACATAAGCCCCTTTTTCTAACATAAATACATATAGGTCCCCATAACTTATCAATATTACAAATACAACCAAATACAATATATCTCTCAACAAAACTTAACACCCATGTACATGTGTTAATATGTGCTATACCTTCTAATATTTAAAGCTTACTTTAATTTAAAACAAATTCTCAATTTTCATCTTTTACTTTTTTCAGATTTTTACTTCCAATGGTCAAATAGAACTGTTAAATCCATGACCCAGTCAGCAAAATGGTTCTCTGTCTGGTCTGAGTCTGGCAACACTGATTTAGATATTTATATATACACATAAATTTAGTAAAAATAAAACAAATTACCTATAAAAAGGCGATCTTTTCATCCCAAGGTTTTAAAACTAAAACATATTATACATGAAAAACATGTTTTACCTTTTATTATGCACTTAGTTTTTCTGACTGAATCTTTTATGCTTCACAACAAATTAAACTCCAACTTTTGTGGCACCGCATTTTTGCCATTTGTGAAAGTGCTAAAGATGTTCTGAGTTGTGCTATTGTGAATGAGAGCATATAAAGGTATTGCCACCTCTAAATCAGGTGAACCTGGCTATGAAACTCTAAGGCTCCGCTCCGTTTGGTTTGTGGGAAGATTTGGGTGGGATGGGATGGGATGGGAAAGTGTAAAAATTTACACTTCCATTGTTTGGTTTTATATATGGGAAAATAATGGGAAAAGCACTGTGACGAGCTACTTCTTTGCCGGATTCATGTAAGGTAAAGAAGAGAGCTCCATGACTGCAGTGGTGATCAGAGAGAGAGAGGGAAAATGAGGGAATCAGAAACAATGGATGATCGGAGAAACTAGTCAAAACCAGTGAAACGGTTACCGGAGACGGTAGGAATGATGGAGTATAGCTGCTGTGGAGTGCTCTGTTTCACCAAGAGGAAGACGAACAGTAGTTCACCAGTGGAAAGCGAAGGTGATGAACAGTGCCGCTGGTCACCATTGGAAAGCGAACAGTGCCGCCGGAGACAGTAGTTTGCCGGCAGAAAGAGAAGACGATGAACGGAGAGGTACTAGAGGGTGATCCTGGTCACCGCCGCTGGTATATCCTGTGTTCATTGTCAAGAAGACGATGAACAGTGCTTTTTTTGGGTGAAAAACAAAAGACAGAAGAAGAAGAAAGAGAAGAAGAGAGGAGAGGGGGTGCCGCCGCCACTGCTTTACTTCTGGGTTCGAACGGGGAAGGGGAGGTAGCAGATCGCCGCTGCCCCTCACACTGGTTTTCTTGCCACCGCCGCCTCCTCTGCCCCTCGCACAGATCTCCGATGGTAATGGGGAAGGCACTGGTTCTCTCCCTCCTCTGTTCGGTGTCGCTGGTTCTTGTAACAGTGGTTTCTGTGCGACCCCAAATCTGCGATTTTGGGATCTGACATCCCACATTTTTCTCATCCCATCCCTCTATTTCCCTCAAAACAAATGAGAGAAAAGGAATATTTTTGGAATATTCCCTTTTTCTCATCCCCATCCCACAAACCAAACGGAGCCTAAAAGCATGGATAGTAAGGACCATCCAATTCAGTAGACATTTTCTCTAGGGAATCTCTAGTGTGGCAAATCAAAGCCTTAGTCCTGCTATAGCTCAGCATCCCCATCAAGGCCACCACAAGTATAGCAGTAATCCAATATGTTGACCTCTATGCCCATCTATAGTGGCCCTGATCAAGTGTTTAATTATCAGTAACATCTCCATGTCAGTATATTTGATAGTTTCAGCTTGTCCTTCAGTGGGGAATTCAATGTGTATTTAGTATTTTATTTTTTTTCACATTTGATCAGTACATGTTCTCTTACAATAAACCAAAGTTTAGAGCCATTAAAGCTTTGGATTGGATCAAATTCATCTCCTCAGTGAAATTCCATCTAGAGGGTAATCATCTGATTTGAGCATATTCTTCAAAGCCATTTCCCACATGATTTTGCATTGTTAAATGTATGTGCAAGACTGTATTTGTAGTGCAGATGATGGATCAATCTTTAGGTAAAAAATCTCCTCTATGAGAACTTATATCAACTCTCTTCATCTGTGCCATTCAACAAGCATAAGCATGGGGACAATTAACTGTCATGTTTCCTCTTCCAAATATTCCTTTTATTCTACAAGGTCTAATATATTGATATTTTTGAATGTGCAGCACAAGAAGCAAAATTCCAGTGTGGCCATTCCTGGTGTTTTCAATCTTTGGGGGTGCATATGCTCTTCTTCCATATTTTGTTCTTTGGAGACCACCACCACCTCCTGTTGAAGAAGCTGAGCTAGGAAGATGGCCTCTAAACTTTCTGGAATCAAAAATAACTTCTTTGGTATGAGTTTGTTTACATTTTCAAATCCATTACTTTGCATGTTCAAAACATGTTAAAATGTTTGAACTAGTCCAGATAAATTTGAAGGATGAATATGCCAATTAGCTCATTTGGTATGCTCTTGGGGATTCAAAGACCTGGCCTTGGATTGGATCTAACTCTTGGTTTTCTAACATTGACTGGTAACCACTAATGCTCTATTGCTCTATTCTAAAAAGAGAAGGGGGAAAAAGAAAAAAGTATCCAAGGAATATCTTGTAATAGTGCACCTGGTGCGTCAAGGATTATGATCAAATAAAAAACATAGTGCGCCTGGTTCATCAAGGTGTATGGTCATGTTGTTTTTGAGTCCTGTTAATATGGGATCTATTGAATATTTGGTCCCTACCTTTGGATGTGACCCAGATTTACTGCTAAGCTGTAGGTATATTGTCCTTGGTGCATACTAGTGCAGTGCATAGCACTAACTTGGATCTTCCAAATTTGTATATAGTAGCAAATGGGAATTGGATCAATCACTTCTGTTTTACATTTTACCCTTACGTATTTATGCAGTTCAAGTTATCTTGTCTTTAATTAAAGTAACTCCTTTGCAAATCAGATATTGTTTTCTGCAGGTCTAGGTTTAATCGCGTATGCAGGCCTAGCCAGTGGTGATGTATGGAAGGAATTCTACCAGTACCTCAGAGAAAGCAAACTTGTAAGTCTCATCAATAATGGAAGTGAATTTTCATGGAGATATAAACCTGGCCATTTTTATTGATATGCTTTTTATATTCAATAGGGAATTTTTTTTTCCTAAGAAATACTTCCTGGTTGGACCCGTCAAATGTTGGGTTTTGACTTTTGAGCACTCTAAATGTGCAACACAGTTGACAGCAGAATCCGGCTTTGCTCCCTCACAGCAACCTTACCACACTTGCAGCCGCATATGGGGAACATCTCCTGTACTTGTATGTTGTCATTCATGGGAAGATATTCCCTATGCATGGCTGCAACATACAGTGAGGTTGGTGCAAGGAGCGCTCTATGACAAGCAAATCTGAATTCTTAACAGCACACTCAGGTGACGTTGAACTGGTGGTTCGGAGCCTGAGAATGTCCTGATACATACACTTTATTTTTAACAGAACAAAAAGATTTTTTTTTTCATTATTTTTTCTGGTGGATTCATTTTGCCTCTGGAACTCACAGGACAATTAAGTCAGGATGGTGCTTGGAACTGGAAAATTCCCGATTACCTATTCATAACTTTTGATTTCAAAATTTTCTTTGTAACCCCTTGTCAAATATGAAAGCTTATTTCATTTTAAGCCCTTGTTGATTTTACTGGTATGTTTACCCACTTTCATCTGCATTACAGGTCCATGTCACCTGCCTTGATTTTACACTGCTATCAACGTTCGCTCCCTTCTGGGTTTACAACGATATGACTGCTCGTAAATGGTGAGGGATTAGAGCCATTCACCCCTTAAATTAATTTGAGTGACCTCGGCATGAAGTGTTCTCTTTCCCTCCTCTCTAAAGTTTTTAACAAACAGCTGAATCTGGCTCTCTTTGCAGGACTGACAAAGGTTCTTGGATTCTTCCCTTAGCACTAGTTCCATTCCTGGGTCCCGCTTTGTATCTTATATTGCGACCGTCACTGTCAACAACACCTGTGTCTCTCACCTCAGCCACAATAGAACGAGACTGATGCTAGATCGAGAGAGAGAGCTTCAAATTCAGTCGGTTATATTTGTGCATAGGGATAGAATCCTGCCTAGTTTCTCCTGGTTGTAGCGGTGGGTTGGGGGATGGGCTACCCCCGTTGTGTAGTCCCGGAGCCAAAAAAAGAATGTATAGAGAAGTTGAGTTACATTTTATGGGTTTGTTTTATATAATCCAAATATGCAAAGTTTGGCAAGGTGCCAACTGGTTAGTTGGTGATGTCTTTGGCTGGTTGTAGTGGAAGGATGAATACAGATTTAGCAACACCGCCAACACGATGGGCTAAAACATTTAAGTGTATTATAATCAAGGTTTTTAAAACCAACCTGGAGAACGAACTGGTCAGGGGTCCGGTTTTTGGGTCAAATGGTCCGATCGTTTGAAATGAATGGTAAGCCTGTTCTGACAAAAAATAAAAAATAGTCAAAACCGTTTGAACAGTTAATCGCCCGGGTCAGTGGTTTGTTGACCAAAATCAACAGTTTTTGAAAAAAAWTTGGTTTTGGGGAAAAATGGAACCAGTCACCTGATTGGTTCTTGGTTCCTGGTTTTTTCAATCCGATCGTCTGGTCCGATTCGGTTTTAAAAACCATAATTCTAATAAAAGGCTACCCTGGTTGTATAGCCCAATATTATAGGAGAGACCGGATCTAGTTCCAACAGGGGTCCCAATAGCCATTGCATTTGTACATTGGAAACATCCTCAAATGAGAAGTACCCAATGCATGCCTGCAAAAGCTGTTGGGACCCTTTGTTAACTCCATGGTGGGTGAAAAACAGAAAAAGCTTGTTGGAAGTTTCATCTATCAGGGATGAGCATAATTAGGTTGAAAGAGAAAAAAAAAAAGCTTGGTTTTAGGGTAGTTTTTGGTAAAACTAGGAGAAACAATAAATCACCACAATGATATACAATAAATCGTTCGGGAGGTTAGCACCTCCAAGATAAATAGAGACCCTTGGATGAGAAAGAGCCTACTTCACCGGGATGATAGCTCTTCTTCTAAAATCATCCTCAAATTCCACGGGATGATAGTTTTCTCCTTAAGGCAAAAGATGGCAAGAAGCGAATCTCCTTGGATTATTAATATTGGGTGGTTTTTGTAATTGAAAGCTAAATTATGGGTGGGCCTCCCACGCAGTCCAAGCTTCTGCCAAGTTTATAGAAGTAATATCAATATAGAAAGCTTTGATCTCTAGGATTCTTCCTAGAGAATTTCTAACTAAAGGCACTTGTACAAGATCCATTAATCTTTCAAGAGGCATTAAAGTTAAATTTTATAGCATCTCCACGAGGATATCTCTAAAAAAATGATAGGCTTCCAAATCTTTTTACCAATATTATCTCCCTCTTGGCTCTCAAGAAACAAACTTAGAGCATGCTCCAAAATTACTTTTGTTGTTAAAGGTCTTATCATTCCTGTTTTTCCAAATAAACCAGAGAATAATAGCATTTTCTTTTTCTTTTGATCAATTACTGTTATCACCCTCCTCTAAGGTCTCCCACCACAAATTAACACTGACGCTGTCATCAATTGGACCAGCAACGGAGTTCTCCGCTGCCAGCCACACTTGTTTGGCTAAAGGACAGGTCCTAAATATGTGATCCACATCCTCTCCTCCTCTGGCCACCACATTTTTTCTTTTTCTTTTGGAGAGTCTTTCATTTAAAAGAAAGAAAAAGAAGAGTTTTAATTTTGGGTAGCTAAGAACGCTACATTGTAAGCAGATTTCAAAGTAAATGACCCTTTTGGATCCAATCTCCACACTAATTTATCCTTTGTATCATCCAAGGGAATAATAATAATAGTTTTAATTTTACACCAACAGGATAAAGGAACTAATGATTTGGATGTGTTTACTCACGCCAAACTTAATACTTTCATTATTCGGGTTTGTCCTTAGATCCATTTCGCTAAGAGGGAGGTTATCAAACCACTTATCCTTCCAAAAATCGATAATAGCCCCATCTCCAATTGTCCAACCAAGCCCTCTCTTAAGAAGATATCTAGCCTAGAGGATCCCACGCCAAGCCCATGCCATTCCTTTCCTCTCCTTAGCACTTCAAAAGTCTCCCTTTTTTAACTACTTACTTTGCCTAGATATCTTCTTAATTTGGCTACCCGAACCCAAAGATATTGATTTTGAATAAAAAATTTCCACCCTAGTTTGGCTAAGTTTGCATCATTTACCCAATTCAGATTTTTAATTTCTAATCCTCCCCATCTCTTGGGAGCACAAACCTTGGTCCAACCCATTAGGCTAGAGGGCTTATTCTCATTTTTGTTAGCCCAAATGAAGGATCTATTTCTTTTATTTAGGCTTAGTTTGGAAGGAGTACAAATACAAATATGTAGAGCGCAAATAAATACAAAATACAGGGTTTTTTACTGTACATATTTGTGTTTGTACTCCTTCCAAATTGAGCCTTATTTCCTCAATAATATTTTTTGGAACTTTGAAAGAGATCATAATAAACTGCGGGGTCATGTTTGAAACTGAATTTACAAGGGTTACCTTTCCCACAAAAGATAGAGTTTTTCTCATCTAGTTAGCTAATTTACTAACTACTCTATCTTTCATATCATTARAAGTGGCTTTTGCAACTCTCCCATCAATCAGAGGAGCTCCTAAATATATATTAGATTTGGTCTCAATAGGAATCCTTAACATTATTGCCACCATTCTCTGAAATCTCCGGGGAACATTTTTGGAAAATCTGATAGGCAATTTGGAAAAATTTATCAATTGACCAGAAGCTCCAACAAATTTACTAAGAACTTCCTTAATCTTCACACATGTTGGAATAGAAGCTTTAGCAAATATCAAGAAATCATCAACAAATTGGAGAAGAAGGATTCTAGGGCCCCTAGTTGCTTCTCAAGGTCCTCTATTTCTTTCTCAAGATTCTTAGCAAGTGCCTCAGCACATAGCACAAAGATGTAGGGGGAGAGAGGGTCCCCTTGTCTAATTCTCCTAGTAGGAAATATTGCTCTAGTAGGGGAGCCAGGAATTTTATAGGAGATTGTCCTTATGAAAGTCATCATCCACCTTACCCACTTGTCATGAAAGCCATGTTTATGGAGAACTTTCTCAACAAAATCCCATTCCAGACGATCATATGCTTTCTTCATATCTATCTTTCATATCTTAATGCCTGCCTTGCCTTTCTTTCTCCCCATGGATTGAATCAATTCATGGGAAATGAGGATATAATCATTAATCTGTCTATAAGGGATGAAGGCACTTTGGTATTGGGAAATTATCTTTATCCAAAATAGGCTTTCATCTATTAGCTAAGATTTTTTATATGATTTTGCACCCCACATTACATAGGTTTTAAGGTATTTCGGTTATTGGTTTTTAACTATGAACATCCGAATTGGTTTGGAGTCCACTCCATGGTTAAAATCTAATGGAATCACCACCCATCAAAGCAAGAATCATGGGAGTGATGGGCCTCCCATGCTCTAGAAAGCAAAAACAAGACTCATGTGCCCAACTCAAGACTTTTCTAGGTAGTTTAAGGGGAAGAGGGAAGGTGTTGGGAACCCCTCTCCCATAATTAAGATGTAGTACCAATTCCCCCAGAAATAAAGCAAAAGAATAAAAAAAAAGATAAAACAATCAAAGACTTTTAGTCATTCTATGTTGAAATTTTCTCACATCAAAAGAATGATGAACACAATGAATGTTCCAATCACCTAAAGCTATTTCAAAAAGTTTTGGAGTAAAGAAAGGTTGATGTCTCCTCTCCCTCTCATTTTTTATCCAAGAACACTTCTACAAGGGCAAACCCTTTTGAAAATTCTAGGATTGAAGCAAGGTGGTTGAGAGATCTCCTCTCAATCCCTTTTTATCCAGTCTTAGACTTTCTACTAGTGAGCAAAGTGAAATGGATTATTCAAAGAGCTCATTGCTCTCATGAGAAAACTTTATGATAGTGACTTCACAAGAAAGATAAAGAAATAAACATATTCATAGAGAGAAACATACTAAACTAAAATCAAACACAATCCTCCACTTACCTATGCAACTAGGACATGCTGAAAAGAAGGTAAACGAAACTAAATTGGCCTAGCATGATTCTAACACCTAGACAAGTGATTCCAACTTATATGTTAAACAATTTCAGCATGATATTGATCTAAATTAGATTAAAAAAAATACTACGAAGACACATAATATTCATTTGATTCTTCTAGTGAGCTATTCCAACATATTTCCTACACATAATTATAATGAAATCAATTTAAAAATAAGACATACACCATCCAACAATGAGATAATTCAATGCAGCAAAATAAAAGACTACCTAGAAGACTAATGAGATTCAAGGAAATAAAAGTACTAAATAGAAAAAGGATAAGGTGAGTAACTCACCTCATTGTGGCCTTTGAGCAATTGTGTTCATGGTAATGACAAAAATTGTTGGAGAAGATGGGACTAAAATGTTCTTAGTCTTCTTTGAGTGATGTCTTGCTTGAATCAACTATGTGAGGGAGCTGGCTCAAATTACCCTTGCTTCTTCCTATCCAAGGTTCAAAATATCGATATGCCCGATGCGCCCTAGTGGCATATCGGGCAGTATCGCTAGTTTTCTTTTTTACTTTTTTAGTTTTCTTTCTCGAATCTGGTTTAGAGGAGCCGGTTTAAGGTCCCTATCTTCTTCTTCATTTTCTTCCTTGGACTGATTCAACCCTAGGGTTCTTGGGCCAAACTTCTTCCTCCTTCCTTTTTCTTCTTCTTCTTCTTCTTTCTTCTTCTTCTTCTTCTCCTTTGGCCAAACTCTACCAATGCTTGTCCAAGGCTGCTTTCTCTTTTTCAAGGTTGAGGTTAATTGGATCAAATGAACAAAGGGATGAAGAGACATGGTGGAGGGTGTTTGGTTATGGAGATGGAAGAATAAGTTGGAGAGGGTTGCTGGTTTAGTGGTGATTAAGGGTGAGAGTAGAGAAGGGAGGAGATGAGAGAAGGGTTCGGTTGGGTGTTGGGGAGATGAGTTCGGTGAGAGAGAGAAAAAGAGAGAAAAAGGATTTACCTTGGCCCAAAAAAAGGTGAAGGAGCTTGCTCCTTTTTCTTTCCTTTTTCTTCTTCTTTTCTCCTTCTTCCTTCTCTTCTTCTAACTAAATTCTTGCTATCCGAATGGAGTGGAGTGTGGAGGGGGAACAGTGGAAGGTTGATGGTGGTTTGGTTGTGTTGTTAAGTGAGAGA